GCTTGAAGTCGTAGCAGCTGTAAAGGGTGTCCGGTAGCCACACAGACCGACAGTCCCGCAGTTACGGTTACAGTTTGTCACCACAGCAATTAAGCGTCGTTCGAGCAAGCAATCACACCAACCATTTTCCTGATTGGCTTGCGACAGTATGCTCACGCGCCTACCACAAAATGCCCACTCGAAGTTGGTCAGCACACAATTTGGCACCATAACTTGACTTTTAGTTCATCTGCCTCACCAGTTCCAGCCGTCAGGTAAGTGCTCTTCTTCTTCTTTTTTTGTCGGTATCATCCTAGTCGCCTTCTTCGTTGAACTTACCTCCTGCGTACAAATGCACTTGGTCGTCAGTCCGACCAAGTTCAGAACTTGGCTTGCCGGAGGGGGACACTTCGAGGCAAAAACTCTCGTAACCACCCGGTGTGTACGCTTCTCCCTTCTACTCCCTTCGTCTCTCTCTCTCTCTCTCTGTCTCTCTCTCCTTCTCTGTCTCCCTCTCCTTCTCTGTCTCTCTCTCCCCCTTTGTGGCCTGGTCCCATGAACTACCCGTATGCGCACTGACACCGACAAAACTCGACGTAGATTAGCTACAGAAGGGACACGAGCTGGCGCTCTAGATCGGCACGACCCGCACCACTACAGTGACTTCGATGATGATTGAACGAGTTTCGCCATGGCAGGCAGGTAAGTCTACTTACTTTTCTTCTACTCTCTTTTCCCCGCACGCTGGACTCGCACTACCTCCGTCGAACGATGAGCAACATCGGATGAATCTTCCACTCAACCATGGAATGATAACCCATTATCCGATCCGTACCCACGCGCAACCTACCATTGCTCAACTTTCCACCGTTCTGTACTCATGGTCTCCCCGAAGCGAGTACCTCTCTCTCTCTCTTATCCCACGTACGTAAGCGTACCCGATCCTCCACGACGAATACCTACTATGAGGAAAATGGTAAGTTCCCTCTCCCCTCCTCAAAGATTTTGTTCCGACTTCCCTTCCCGATTGCTCCCTCGCCTCTTCACCAGCGTACTTGGCCACTCAACGTAGTCAGGCTCAGTGAAATTCGGAAGACGTGGTTGCTGAGAAGGAGGCCAACAACACAGCGACACAACACGAGTACGCATATCACTATGATAAATGGGCGCCGTTTTGGATCGCACCTTCGACTTGGATGAGGATGTCGGCCATAGTGGTGAAGGCCTCCGCGGGTAGAACAGTCTCGATAAGGGAGACGGCTACTCAGACAGATAGCACGGTCACGACGCCCGATATTTACCAAAAGAACGCAGATTTCGACCACCGCGAAGGGAAACCAAGGCAATAGGCCGCGATGCGAGGCTATGGGCTGCACCTTGCTAAAATATGCAAAACGAGAACGAATCTTCCTCAAGAACATGGATAGATACACCCCCTATACTTTTTATTTTAGTATCTTCCCTCCAATGTATTCAGTCAAGCCCTTTCTCCAGGTACATTCGTTCACCCCATTCCCCTCAACTGTCTCCTTCTCGGGTAGCAGATCCCGACCTCGACTACCCCGAGGATGCAGCGTCGAGATTGGCGAGCCATAGCAGTGGCGTGATTATCAGCGGAATCTTGACGCCATGCAAGGCCAAGTCGGGATGACGTGCAGAGATCCCACCAGCGAGACTGGGAGGATAATCTTGAGCACGACGAGCACGCGGAGCAGAACCGGCGGGATGGACATGAACGGCTGCGAGATCGATACTCATCGATGGACCGAACTGCGTTCCTGCATAGCAAACACATGACCCCGCTCCAACCCTTATCAACTATGCAAAGCAAAAAATGTATCTCTCGCTAGAACAGGAAAATATACATTAGCAGAATCCATGCATCCTCCTTCATTATTCCGCTACTCAAATTGACTTTCTGACGTGGCCCATCAATCCAGAATTATCTAAAAACCCCGTTTGGTATCTTCGTTTGCCAAAAACAGCCGAAAAACGGCCGAGCAATTCAATTTGCACTCGTTTTCACTCCTTTCCCTTCCTTTCTCCTTCGAACGTACCTGGCGCGAAATCGCGTCCAGGTTCATTCCCCCACCTTCTTCTTTTTTTGTTGTCTCGGCTGCTTCCCCTCTTATGGTGTTGCGCCCTCGTGCGCTATCTTTCTCCTCTCTAACTCTTCCTCTTTCTCCTCCTATACTACCTCTCCCCCACTAATCTATGCTGCCTCACCTTCTCGGACAACATCCACCATAGCAAACGAAGAGAGGGCTCGGCCCCCCTATTTATGCGAGTCAGCCTTGTGCATGGGCCAGGCCAATCTTCCCTGTATCGTCCCAATTTTAACGAATGTCCCGAAGGACCAGGTCGTAGATTGCGGCCCCAAGACTCCTTCGCATGTTGACCGGGCCCAGCCAACTCAGAAATATTCAGTATTACCCATCAGTTTCCATTATCTGGTTTCGAACTTATGTCTGTACTTCAATGGCTCAGTGGTGTATCCCCTGAGCTAGGTGCTTGGGTCCACGGCCAGTCCTGGTGCCACCGCTGGACCACGTTTTAGATACGGGAAAAAAATAAGAAAGAAAAAATTTGGAAATAGAAATAATAATAATAACTCTTAGAATATTTTTTTTGGAAAATGGGATAGGAACCGTTGGTACTCGGTCCTGCCCCGCGGGCCCACGGTCGGATCCCCCAACATAACTAAGGGGGATAGTCCCGCGGGACCCTCGACCCCTCAGTTCGCTCTGTAGCGCTCCTCTGCTCCTCCAATGCTGGTTGTTGGCCTCGATCCCGGGATCCGCCTGGTGGAAGTTTAATTCTATAACCAATAGGGCTAAGCCCAAGCCTGGCTTGGCTGTGCGCTTCCCGGTATGTGAATAGGATGACCGGCCGGCCTGGGCCTCTAGGCAGGGCCTCAGGCCGTTTTCTAACCTACAGCCCGCGTCCCAGGGCCCTCGTAATGCCGCATTTGGCTGTCTTGAGGGCAAGGCTCCGTTTGGCCCGCCACACGCGCTTGCTCCACCATGCTATGGCTGCGGACCAAGCCTCTCATAGCCCGCCACAACCACCTTTTTACCGCCCTTCAGCCGATGAAACCTCGACTTTCGCTCTAGTCCGTGCCATCCTTACTTGGTTTCAGCGACGACTCCTACTGTCGGCAGTGCATGGTCAACCTAGTGCCTGCGAAATTTCAGGCGGTGCGACCCTGAAACGTCGGTCCCCAGTAAGTCAGACAATATCCCCCTCTAGTCACAGCCTTACCAAGTCAACTTCATGCAGTCCGAAATTTTGCCTGAGCGCGCGAGGTTGCGGCTTCCTCAGAAATCCTAGTCTAGCACTTACTTGTTCTACCGGCGTCTCATAGCCTGCCTTGATCAATCGTTTGGTCCGGCTAACGCGCGCCCGCAAAGTGCACGCTCACACACTCTCTAATCAACAAAGATGGGACGCGCCCCTAGATATCACCAACAACTTTTTTCCTGTAAGTTGCAAAAATGTACAAAAATACCCTTGTAAGGGTATTCGGGCCAAAAACGATGCTCCAATCTATTCGTGGGGAGCAACACGACTGGGAACCAGGCCCAGCGTCCCTTATCAGAATACAAAGATGAGCTGTCGGGGCCATTACTCGGCTTCGGCTAAGACCAATTGAAGAGAAAGAAAACTTCAAAAAACGTTCAGAAAATATGTGTCAACCAACCTCCTAACCACGGATCAGATAAATGAAACCTATTCAACCACCTTCGACCACCGCCAGCATGGCCATTTTCAGCACGAACCGAAGCTCTTCCAGGCCTCATGCTCCCATCAGGCTAGGTTACAGAGTTGCACCAGCTTGCTCCAGCTTCAGCACCACCTTGCTCCAGCACCACCTTGCTCCATCTCCGGCCAGCTTGCTTCAGTTACGACCTCCGATGACCACTGAGACTGCCCCCGCAAACAGCCCCCCCAGATCTCTATACAAGTCCTCACGGCCCCACTAGGCTAGGTCACAGAGTTGCGCCACCTGGCTCCAGCTCCGGCCATCGTTGCTCCAGCATCGGTCTTCAAGAGCCACCAAATTTTCAGCCACCCTACGCAGGATCGAAGATGACATTCTAGACGTCACCTATTCTTACAACCTCCTTGAGAAGTGAACCGAATGGAAAGAAATCAAGGCAAGGAAGAAACTCAAAAATATTCAAAAAGTGTATGGCGAGAAGCCCCCCAACCACAAAACAGATAGGTGAAACCTACTCAATCCACCTTCGACCTCCACCAGCCTGGCTCTTTCCGACAAGAACCAAAGTTCTTGCAGGCCTCATGCTCCCTTCTGGCTGGGTTACAGAGTTGCACCACCTCTCTCCAGCACCGGGCAACATTGCTTAAGTTACCACCCCGATGACCGCTGAGACTGCCCCAGCAAACAGCCCCCCAGATCTCTACGAGGCCTCACGCCCCCAGTAGGCTAGGTCACAGAGTTGCGCCACCTGGCTCCGGCTCCGGCCAGCGTTGCTCCAGCATCGGTCTACAAGGGCTACCGAATTTTCAACCACCCTACGCAGAATCAAGGATGAATTGCCAGATAACACCTATTCCTACAATACACCTTGAGAGGCAAGCCAAATAAACGGAGTACTAAACAAGATGTGCTAATATTCAAAGATCGCCCCTCCCTCCCCCTCCCCCTCCCCCCTCAGCCCTGTACTGCCTCCACCGAGGTGAGTCTCCCACTCTCCCTCGGCCCAATACAAGATCAATCCGCTACCCTACTTTCCCCAAGGAGCACGCAGTTCCCACCTAAAGCGTGCCCCCCCAACCCCTACCCATTTCTGCCTCCGCCGGGACTGATGTTAACCTACACACCAGCCCCTGCCCCAGAATAGGACAACCCCCTGCTCCGCCCCTACCTTCTTTGAGACATTCACCCCCCACCTTGTGATGCCCCTGCAAGATAGAGATCCCCCCGCCCTCCGTCTTACCTGCAGATATGAACAGCAAACACCACCGTGAGGGACGACCGTCTAATGATGACAAACTAATGAAGGTGATGATGATGATAGATGTGACAAGGGTGGTACCACAAACTGATGATGATCGTAACGAAGGATGATGATGATGTCGGTAGTGATGATTATGATGACAGTGATGACGATAATGATGATGCTGATGGTAGTAATAGTAATGATAGTAATGATAGTAATGATGATGATGATGATGATCATGATGATGATGATGATGATGATGATGATGATGATGCTATCGATGATAACGAATCTGAGGATGATGATAACGATGATAATAATGATGGTGATGATGATGATAATGGCGTTGATGATGATGATGATGATGATAAGATGATGATACTGATGGTGATGATGATGATGGTGACGATGGTGATGATGACTATTCTGATGATAACGCACAGTACCCTACACTAACTCAAAATGGCGGTAGCACTGATGACCGGATGATGATGATGGAGATTTTGAAAAAGCCTACGACCACGTGGATTGGGATTTTTTAGATAAATGTTTGGAAAAAATGAACTTTGGGCCTATCGGCGCTGGGTCAAGATCCTTCGTAATAATGCCACCACCTACGTTCAGGTCAATGGGTCAGTAGCACCCCCATTTGAGCTCCAACGGTCCGTGAGACAAGGGGATCCCATTGCCCCCTATCTCTTTTTGGTGATAATGGAAACACTGTCAACCAACCTGTGTCATAACAAAGACCTTACACGCATTAAGATATCTAACATCCCGGAGGAAGCAATACTTATATGTTCTCTATTCGCATATGATCTTTACCATAATGGTAGAGGCGACAGGATCCAACATGGAAGAAATTCAACATCTTATGAACAAGTTCTGCCAGTTGTCAGATATGATTGTGAACTGGGGACAGAAGACTGTGGGATGGTGGATGCATCACCAAGGGGGAAGACCCCCGAAAAACCCACAAATCACATGGCTCTCCCCAGATGACCCCCTAAGAATCCTGGGGGCGCTAGTCACAGCTAGAGGGAAGCCGGCAACTAATGACGAGTGGCTGGCAGGACCGGCGCGAGTTAAGTTGGAAAAATGGAACAATAAACGTACATCAATTTTTGGGCGGACACTTGTCATTAATAACGTGGTTCTAGCTACACTATGGCACAAGGCCATCCTATGGCCCATGAGTAATAGGGGGCTCAAAGTACTAAAACAACGCCTGGCGGCCTTCCTGTGGAGAGGCGATAGTAACATTCCTCATGCTATTAGCCAAGTGGCGTGGGAATCAGTGATTCAACCCAAGAGCAGAGGTGGACTAGGAATTATGGACCCGGCCACACAATTTCAGACCCTCTCGATTCGCTGGCTTCAATATATTATATTTTCGCCGTCATCTCCATGGACCCCCCTAGCCTTGGCACAAATCTCTGCCCTGGCCCCGGAAACCCCACCCGAGATTGACCCCCGGGTGTGGCTCGAGGACAGACATTGGAGGCTACCCAGGAAGTACAGGAACGGGGACCCCATTGACAGACAATGGGAGCGCCTCATACGCACATGGAGGAAACTCCCTCCCCCCGACCGACCAGCACCAGAGAGGTGGAAAGAAATATTCAGGCAACCCCTATTTGGCAACCATCTAATAACGGACTCCCGGGGCCTTGTGCGGTGCAGCTCGGATACTCCATGGAAGGGTTGGGTGAAATGTGGTGTACGAAGGGTCGGGGACCTTTGGGATATGGAGGCAAAGAGCTCGAAGAGCACGGAGAGAATACGAGCACGTCTGCGGTACTGCCATTTCACTGAGATGACATTGAACGATCTTATCGACAGTTTCCCCCTTCAATGGTACACTACCCTAAGAAAAGGTCTCTGCGTAAAGGAAGGAGATTGGGTGGGGCTGCCCGACCACGACAGGGAGGTAGGGCATGTGCACTTTGCTGACCAAACACATGTACTGATAGAAGTCTTCTCCATTCAGAAGGGCGAAGAATGACGGTGGAACCAACAACCCTTCATATGGAAGGAGCGAAAAGGCGTTTATCGTGTTAGGGTCATTGATGAAGGATGTCGCCAGAGGGCGTATCGCCCAATGATCCCGATCGAGGACCTCCCCATGGACCCCGAGGAGTGGCGATGGTCCCTAGACGCCCGGACCAGGAAGGGGGAGGCAAACACGTTGGCATTACTCAACTTAAAATCCAAGTCAGCCTACCGAATGCTTAGACCTAAATGCAGACTGCGGGACCACGTTGAAGACAGATGGTATCGCCATCTTAATATAGACCGCAGCTTGCTTAAACCCATCCGATGGTTTGCACACTACAGCAGTAGACCTGACAAAAGTTTTGCCCTCCAGTAGCAAATAGAACACCGATGTCTACCAACCAATGATTGGCTGATAGACCACACTCGCTTGGAACAACAAGGGAAAGCACAGCCATGGTGCCATAAATGTCTCCAGAGCTACCCTGGGAGAAAGCAGGCTGAGACCATAGAGCATATTTGTTTTCAATGTCCCGCGACGGTGCTGTTGTGGAGAAGTTGGGATAGGATTTGGCAACACATTGTTCCTGGTGCAGTGTGGTCATGGGACTGGCGGGCCATACTCTTGGGGTATTACCCTCAAATCTGGGGAAATATGTTTAACCTGGGAAGACAAAGCGTCCTATGGGCCATATGGTGGAAGAGATGTATCCTGGAGGTAGAGGGGGCGCGGGTGGAAGACGGAGAAGTTATGGAACAAATACGAACATTGGTTCAACACGAAATTGCGACCCGATGGAAGGCAGCCAAAGACGAGATGGAAAAAATGCATATCTGGGGGGATATGAACAGGATCATCTCCTGTTTCAGCAAGGACTGGCTGGGAGGGAAAAGGAAGGGATAAGCCGAGGTAAAATGGACTGGGGATTATCGGCTTGAAAGATAACCATAGGAGAAACCCCGGATAGAGATGGTAAGAGACTACCAACTGATTTTTCACGACTGGACTAAGATAGATCCCGACAGCCCGCTACGTGCTGTGCAGGATTTCGCAGATCCCTTCCCCCCCCACCCGTTGTCCTTAGAAGAAAAATTACCGCTTTCATGACCCCAGGGGTCTAGTGATAGAATCTAGTGGGATATAGCTTGTCGCAACTCAGTCTATTTTCAATCCATTTCAGTTATTTCAGGCTATTTCATGCCTCCTTTCTGCTCAGCGTCTCTACTTACCTCTGTTTTTTGCTCAGCCCTGGTTATCTCTGCTTATCCTTGTTTATCCTTGTTTATCTTTGTCCTTTTCACTACATTCTCAGTCTAATGTTCAGCACGAATGACGGGGGCTAGGGGACGGAGGGAGACCCCCCCCCCACTACCCGGCACGACTGCAGATAGGAAGAGTAGAATTGATATGGGACGTTGGACCAGGTTTCCAACAATGGCGTCACATCCGCTGATATACTGTATGTCATTGCAATAATTAAGGGACGCTGTACCCGGTTTCCAGCTCAGCATAAGAAACTCTAATGTTCAGCATACGGATACAATAGGCGCCCTGAGGATAGTTGGTGGAGGGCAGAGGTTAGGGGATGGAGGAAGACCCCACTGGTGGCCCCCAGTGTTTCCCCCCCCAATACCCGATCCTGCTGCAGGATAGGTTTGGAAGAGTTTGGAAGATTAGATTGGATATGTGACGCTGGACCCGGTTTTCAGCACAATGGCGTCACTTCAATGATGTACTGTTTTACAAAGACGTATTTAAGGGACGCTGGACCCGGTTTCCAGCAGGTGATGCTCCCCACCAATAGATGAAGCGGATTCTCTTAAAAAAAAAAAAAAAAAAAAAAAAAAAAAGGGGGGGGTACCTTGAAAAAAAAAAAAAAAAAAAAAAAAAAAAGGGGGGGGTACCTGGAGCCAAGTAACAGAGATTGCTTTCCCAGACTCAAAGACTTCTTTACTGCTGGGTTTACAGGTTCCCAAACAATGGCGAACTTTTCATAAACATATGTTCCAGTTGGTAAGACAATACGCCCTTTGGACTATTTGGAAGCGTCGATGCCAAGTCACAATTGAGGAGACAACAATGCATAGGCAAGAGGCTAGGGAGATTTTCCTAACCCTCACGGAAACACATCTCAAGGCCCAGTGGAAAGTAGTGAGAAACCAAGTACGTCAGCACTCAGCAGCCAGGGCAAGAGGAATAAATCATGAAACGCTTTAAGCTAAATGTACTGGGTAACAGAGCAGTAGCAACTGTCCAAGGAGCACATTTGGTGTTCAAATGGAGAGGGGGTTGAAAGGGATGAGGAGATGAAAGGCATCTGCGCAGGATTAGGAAGATATTACAGGGAGGGTTTAGGATTTAAGGGTGGTAGTGCCCGACAAAAAACAGCCCGGGTACAGGGAGGGTTTAGGGTTTAAAGGTTTAAGTCAGATTGGAAAGAATTGAGAGTTAAAAAAAAAAAAAAAAGATTTGGATGCAAAGATTCAAAGAAGATATGTTATTATTACCAAACAGGTCACGAGCTCAAATCCGTCTATCCATCGACAGTAAACGCGTGTGCCGTTCTTTTTTCGGAGGTTTAGAAAAAGGTAACAGTTTTTGAGATATCATCATTGAATGAACCGACGCTAGGTAATTCAGAAATACTTCATTATGTTTGKGTCGCATCTGGATCCAGGGAACACTCACACTTTTTTTTTTTTTTTTTTTAATACGCCTTCCTGGATGAATGTGACCGCTTTTCTGACCCGATCTGGATGCATCGGGCTGTCATCACGTCCACAAAGATGTGGAAAAAGTCCCAGTGCGAGTGTACCCCCAGACTCAACAGGTGAACACATTGTGGAAAAGTCCCCATGCGGGCATACCCCCAGACGCAACGGTTGATGTGTTCACTGTTTTTTTTTTGTTTTTTTTTTTTTTAATCTTCTTCTCTCAAATTTCACCTCACACTGCCTACCTACCACTACTACTAATTATAGTCATACAGGGGACCCCATAGTAGCCAGGACCGTGTTCACGAGAGAACATCCGGGGGCTGCTCCCGACCTGCAGGTGCTCTCTTTCCTTTAAAAGGGTGACAAGCCTTGGGATATCTTCGTTGAGTTGACCGGCGCCAGGTTATTCAGAATTCTAATATTCGATTATTTTAATTCAATATTTAATTTATTTAAATTTTATTCAACTGATTACGAACTTGGGTTTGTATTTCGCCAGCTCATTGGGTGTACCCGCTGAGCTAGGCTCATTGTTTCTTTTTTTCTTTTTTTTATTTTTTTCCCCTTTGGGCCATGGCCTTGAGATATTGTAACTGAACTGAGGGGCCCAGGGCAATTTAGAATTATCCTAAAGACCTTGCTCTACCACTTACCATAGGATCAGAAAAACAAATATTATAGCGATGCATCTTTCCCATGTTCTATGAGAAGGTTGATTCTCATTTTGGCATTTTGCATATGGTCAGTGGTGGAGCGATGCGCTTATTCTGTTCATTTGATCGCATCCGGATTCAAACTTTGCTCAATGTTTCAACAGTTCATGGGTGTGCAGTGCGCACCATTTGAGCCAGGGCCGTTGTATTGTGTG